GTGTTGAAAGCCCATATGTCTGTTTCATAATGATTGAGGATTATGTTGAATTTTAGGTAATTCACTGCACATCCATTGGTTCGGTTATAGCTGACAAGTACCATGGAAGACACAAGCTGTTTATCTTAGTTTTAAGTAAGTGAATTAGTCCCTAAAAAAGGTCCAGGTTATTAAATAAATACCAGTGATTTAATTATAGAACATATTTACTTATAATGAAGATTTTTTTCTTAGTAGATGTTCAAGAAATTCCTGCTGCCTAATTATTACACTGTAACCAGATTTCTAGGTTTTGAAGCATTCTTTCATATGCTAATTCTAAATGCATTGAAATACATTTAGGTCAAAACAAGTTCTGAAAGTAATGTATCTTTTCTCTGATTCAAAAATTCATGTTAGGATCTTGTAGTCTCTCAGTTGTCATGAATGAATGTGTTTGTTGTATTTGCTAAAGGGAATTGTAAACTTTTAAGGAAAATTAATTTTATCTCTGATCTGAGAATAATTTGTTTCAATGGAGAACATGTTAACATATCTAGTAAAGTCAGAATACATGTAGTTTCGCAAGATTAGAAATGTGTTTGTACATTATTAGGTACGTGTCCAGTTTTGTAATTATGGCATCTGGTTATATGTACCTCACATTATTTCTTCCTTCTTGCTGGTGAGTAGATAATGTTTGCATTTTTAAAGAGAGAATAATGTTATGTTTTCCACCAGAAAGGTGTTATTCTCTTAGAAAAGTCATAGAATGAATTCAGAATCTTGCAGGAAATAGCCACAAAATTATTTGATTTCCTCTTTTGTTAAGAAGATTAATTTTGTTTGGGAATGTAAGGTCTTAGTTCCCCGAGCAGGGGTCGAACCTGTGCTCCCTGCTTTGGAGGCACGGAGTCTTAACCACTGGACCCCAGGGAAGTCCCTTGCACCAAGCATATTTAATCAACATTAGCAGAGTCAGTGCTCCCCAAATTGATATATGAATTTGATGCAGCGCCAGTCATAATCTCAGCAAGCTTTTCTGCAGAAATTTACAATCTAATTTTAAAATGTGTAGAGAAATTAAGAGGACTTAGGCTATCTAAAGGAATCTTGAATATAAGAGCTAACACATTTTATAGCTGGAAGGAAATACCACTGTGTTTTGTGGGGGTATAAATTTCTTGAGTTCTCTTAGAAGTTAGGCAGGACTAACTTTTATAGATTGGGCTTGTGTAAAAAGTAAATATATAGACATTATACAGTGTCCCACCCCAAGCCAGCTAAGTCACATTCGTCTTTCACATGTTGGCTGACTAATGATGAGTTTTCATTATCTTCTGCCAGTGTGTGGAGGGACATGGCCCCCAGTCACAGGGTGATGATGTTATTTGTCTCCCTGTCCTCTCTCACTGCTGACAAAGTCCTCCTCCCCTTGCTTCTAGAGACCTTAAGCTTTCTCCTCACAGTAACTTCTTTTCATTCTTTTTACCTCTTCCTTTATGCCATGGGTTTTATTCTTACACACTCTGAAGATGCAGGGTATTTGAGTGTGCAGTGAGAAAGATCATATGTTTATGTGTAACTCAAAAAACCATGGCCTTGTGCAAGTAGGAAGGTTGTTTTTCCTAGCTAACTGAAAGTCTAGTCTAGAGTTAGAGGAGTTTTTATAAAGGATGAGTCCCCCTATTTTAAAAATATTCTTGAGCTCTCCTGACACATAGCATCTTAGCAAGGCTTTCTCCTTGTCTGAGGAGAGACGTCAGAGCCAATACCCAAATGTAACTTGACAGTTTTCTTTGCCTCCAACTTTTGAATGTTCTCAAAACCCGTTTCCCCACAGTCTGCCTCCAGCTCTGATTTAATACCTTCTTATCTAAGAGGCTTTTCTATCGAGTATGTTCTGAGACTCAGGAACACAAATCTATTTCTCCACTGGAGTCCTGTAAATGAGACTTTCTGCTCCCTCCCACTCTACACAAGACCTGGAATCTTATTCTCTTGTTTCTTTTAATGCCATCTTCCAGTCTGACACCAGGGCCTTTTGATGAATTATTATTTGTGTAGAAATTATTTGTTTCTTCTGTGTGTTGCTGGGGCCACCCTAATCCCAGCAGGAAGACAGATCAGTATCAGTTAGTGATTGTGACCTCTCACTCCAGCTTCGTTTCAGGTATTCTTTTATGACTTTTCAAATTTCAAATATTTCACCCAGTAGACACTTTCTGTTTAGATACAGCATTGTGTATGGTTTAAGGTCATTCGGCAGGGTGTATATATCTGGGGGTCAGGACAGGTTAGTTTCTGCAGTCTAATGTCCTTGGAAGTACAACAGTGAATTTTGAGTTCTGGTTCCCCTCCCCCCAGGTTGACTGGACAGAACTTCTTGCCTAATCCCTCAGATGCACAGTTAGAATAGCAGATAAGATGATGTGCCAGGGCCTCTGGAAAAGATGCAGTAATACCTTTGTCATGTTACGGGCAACTATTTTCACTTATTTTAAGGGCTGTGAAATGCATTCTTCTTCCAGGTTTCCTTGAGCTCCTCATCACTTGAATACCAGAACGTTCCTTCCTGTTGCACCAGAACAGATACATCTCCCTGTCACACACATGTTCCTCAGTCCTGAATCTCTGTATTTGCATTCTCTTCAAGCTAGGCAGATGCACTGGATAGGAGTCCTCACATATCTAGAGAAATGGTGTTCTTTCTTTCTTTTTTACTTTTTGGCCGCATCACATGGCACACGGGATCTTTGTTCCCCAGCTGGGGGTTGAACCTCTGTCCCCTTAGTGGAAGTGTGAAGTCGTAACCGCTGGGCTGCCAAGGAAGTCGCTGCTGTTCTTTCTCGATCTCACCATGTGCTGTTGGTTGCTGTGAGTTTCTCTAGTTGAGAGAAATCTTCAGTGATAGATCTTAAAAATGAATATTGTCACCATGGAGAGATGAACTCCTTCCAGATTCTCTTTCTGAGAAAGTCACTGGTGGATATATTATTCAGCCAGTAACATGCTGTACCCAACTTTTTAAAACAGGCTCCGTGCTTTGTTTCATTTACCAATGTTCAGTAGGAATATGGGGATAATTGTTCATGTCCCGGTGGTCACTAGCTGCTGAACATGGTGCAGAAGCGATTTTATACGTACAAAGGGAACTTGGGACTTTCCCCTCAAATGCATATACCTTTTACTTGTTGTAGCAAACAGATGGAGTTTGGGGAGAAACAAATTGATGAAAAAGCCGTTTTGTTGTTCAGTCGCTAAGTTGTGTCCGACTCTTTGCGACTCCATGGACTGCAGCACGTCAGACTTCCTTGTCCTTCACCGTCTCCCGGAGTTTGCTCAAACTCATGTCCATTGAGTCAGTGATGCAACCCCACCATCTCGTCCTCTGTCATCCCCTTCTCTTCCAGCCTTCAATCTTTCCCAGCATCAGGGTCTTTTCTAATGAATCAGCTTTTCACACCAGGGGTCCAAAGTATTGGAGTTTTAGCTTCAGCATCAGTCCTTCTAATGGATATTCAGGATTGATTTCCTTTAGGATTGACTGGTTTGATTTCTTTGTAGTCCAAGGGACTCTCAAGAGTCTTCTCCAACACTATAGCATGAAACCCATTAATTTTAACAAAAAATAAAAGATGCAGTATATATAGATTGCATTTGGTAAATATCATTCATAATTTTTTACTTGCCTCATTTTCTTTCCAGGGAGTGGATTTTTATTTTGGTTTTCATTTGTTTAAAGAGTATAAGTAGTGGATTAAAGAAAAGACTTTTGCTAAAAGCAACCAGCAATGAGACCATAGATATTAAACTAGTTTCTTTCATAGAAAGTGGCTATTCCTTGAAGTGTTTCTGAAAAGTTCCTAGGACAGTCTTAAATTCTATACTGTCTAGGTTATACACATATCTTTTGTTGCCACTTAAAAATCAAGTCAGTCATGGGGTTCCCCGATGGTCTACTGGTTGTCTGTTCCCCACACAGGTTTGATCCCTAGTCTGGGAAGGTTCCATACGCAGCGGGTCAGCTAAGCCGGTGTGACATGTGACACAGCTAATGATCCCCTGCTGTGGAGGCCACCAGCTGCGCGTGGAGAAACAGAAAGTGAAAGTGAAAGGCACTCAGCCGTGTGCGACCCCGTGGACTACACAGTCCATGGGATTCTCCAGGCCAGAGGACTGGACTGGGTAGCCTTTCCCCTCTCCAGGGGATCTTCCCCACCCAGGGATCAAACCCAGGTCTCCCACATTGCAGGCGGGTTCTTTACCAGCTGAGCCACAAGAGAAGCCCCAACTAGAGAAAACTCGAACGCAATGAAAGACCCAGTGCCTCCAAAAATGATAAATAAATAAATAAATTAAAAACAATCAAACCAGTCATTGCCTGGGCCTCGGGGCCATTAGGTCAGCCTAGCTGGCAGGGCTCTTCTGTGAGGTACTGTTCTCCCTACAGGAGAAGCAGTGAGGGAGGCATTCAGATGGCTGATGACGAATGCCCAGGCTCCCCGGCTGGTCAGCAGAGCAAGCCCAGGCAGGACCCAGGTTCTGTCAGCCCAGACCAGCTGTGAGCTCAGACAGGCCAGACTGAGAGGAGGAATCTGCGAGCTCCCGGTTTACAGGGAGCACAGTGACAAGGCGCCCTGTGCTAACGGATTAGAGTATGTTTCAGCTAATAGGCCGGAACTTCGCTGGCGGCTCAGACGGTTAAGAGTCTGCCTGCAGGAGACCTGGGTTCAATCCCTGAGCTGGGAAGATCCCCTGGAGAAGGGACTAGCAACCCACTCCAGTATTCTTGCCTGCAGAATCCCATGGATGGAGGAGTGGGCAGGCTACAGTCCACGGGGTCGCAAAGAATCGGACACAGCTGAAGCAACTTAGCATGCACGCGCAATTTTTAGAGGAATTTCTGGCACTGAGGAAGTTCAAGTGGGCTTCAAAATAAAAAATGTGTGATGTGCTTTAGAGGGAAATACCGTAACATTTACCGTTGCTCTCACTGCATTTCCAGGTTTGCCAGCAGGATGGCAGCAAACAGCCTGGTTCTGCCCATCGTCCTCTGGGGGCGCCGAGCCCCGACGCACTGCATCTCAGCCGTGCTGCTGACGGACGACGGGGCCACCATCGTGACCGGGTGCCATGACGGGCAGATATGTCTCTGGGACCTTTCCGTGGACTTGGACGTGAGTGTTTGAAATGCGGATTGCATTTTTTGCATGCAAAAAAGCTACTTAACCAAAAATAACACAGTTCCAGAATAATTTTACCTCTGTATTTTCTGTGAGATACATTTTGACTGAAATTGGTGTTTAGAATGATTATCAACATTACTCATCAGAGTTGACTTCTGCTGGTTTTTGACTTGATTTCCAATTTTAATAGCTACCCTACCTGGCTTACTATGTTACATTTAAGATTTTTTCAGAAAATTTCTAACCATATTGAAGGAGATTTCCAAAAAGATACTAAAAACAATTTTGAGCCTTCTAAGATCAGTGTCTTGAAGAGAGAAAAACTTTGTAAAAATGTACAAAACGTACATTTTTTTGCTTTTATTTTAAAAATCATTCTGTGTGGTTTTTTTTTTTTTGCCATTCTTTACTGCTCTGTGCTCTGCTCCTGGGCTGTCTCTGTGGACAGACACTCTTTTTCCATATTTTAACCTCCAATCTCTGACAACTTCCCCAGGAATTTTTCTGTAAGGAGGAACAGAGAAGATGGGGTGATAGTTGTCATGGAACATAGAGGCAAAAAAGTTGCTTTTATAAGTAAAAAAACTTTTTAACAGCTTTATTGAGATCATACAGTACATGCTTCGAAGTGTACAATTTAATGATTTTTACTCTGTTCCCAGAGTTGTGCAGCTGTTAACCACAGTCAGTTTTAGAACATGTTCATCATCTCAACCACCTGGGTGGTTCAGTGGTTAAGAATCTGTGCTTCCATTGCAGGGGGCTCGGGTTCAATCCCTGGTTGGGGAACTAAGATACCACATACTATGTGGTGTGGCAAAAAATAAAATGTCAGAGAGAAATTGCAGAAGTAGTATTTCGTGAGTACAGAGAGAGATGGAGATAAGAGTAAAGGAGGGAACCTGTTAATGAAGGTATGTCTCCTATAAACAATGTTTCTTTGCTTCTACTACCTGTAAAGCTATTATTTTGGAGAATAAAACTATAATTGCAGGGAATTTTATAATATATGGCAGTAATGAAAGAAGTGAAACATTATGGTAAAAGCTCAGCATTGCAGGCAAATGAAGTTGGCTTGAATCTTGGCTCCTCTAGTGTCTAGCTATGTGACTTTGGGCAATTTACTTAGCTGTCGAATGCCTATATCTCATCATGTTTAACATGGGGTCAACCATACAAGGTTTTGGTAAGGATTCTGTGAGGGAAGTATATTAAGCAGTTATCACAATGCTTGTACATAGTAAGGATTTATTTAGTGAATAATTATAGCATCGCAGGTAATAGAAAGGAAAAAAAAAAAACTAAAAGAAAAAAGAAAGGCGTGTGGAATGATGGCTGACTATAGAACTAGTGCCGTCAAAAAAAAAAAAAAAGAACTAGTGCCCTCAAGGTCCCAGATTGGAGCATTAGTGTTGGTGTTTAGTCTTAAGAACTGTCTCATCACATCTTTTAATTATTTTAATTTCTAATTTTAAATTAAAATTAAATTTTAATGTAAATTTTAATTCTAAATATCACTCCTTGCCACTGATAACTTGATAACTGTCACTTTTGAACTGTGGTCTTTGAGGATGGATTGTTTTTTGATCAGTTGAACAGATTATCTTATATATCTCTGTACCAGTTATATGTGAAATGTCTATTGGTTAATAACTGTGACATAAATTTTTCTGGAACATGGTGAGATAAAAATAGAAAGGTATAAATTTAACTATACCACATTTTTACTTTTCCTCTAGTTACTTTGGTACTCATTGTGTGAAGCCTCCAAGTTTGTTTTTTCTCAAAATTGCTTTGGCCATTTGGTCTTTTATGGTTCAACACAAATTTCATCAAGGTTTTTTCTATTTCTGTGAAAAACACCATTAGAATTTTGATAGGATTGCATTGACTCTGCAGATTGCTTTGAGTAGTATGGACCTTTTAACAACATTAATTCTTCCAACCCAAATATGTGGGGTATCTTTCAACTTATTTATTTTTCCATTTCTTTCATTAGTGTCTTAATAATTTTTGGAATAGAGGTGTTTCACCTCCTTGGTTAAATTTATTTCTAAGTAATTTATTCTTCTTGATGCCATTATAAATGGGATTGCTTAATTTCTCTGTCTGATAACTTGTTGTTATAGAAACAACAGATTTTTGTATGTTTATTTTGTATCCTGCAACTTTACTTAATTTCTTCGTTAGTTTTAACAGTCTTTTGGTTGAGTCTTTAGGTTTTTCTTCATATAAGGTCATGTCATCTGCAGAGAAAACATTGCTTCTTCCTTTTTAACTTGGTTGCTTTATTTATTATTTGTTGCTCAATTGCTCTGGCTAAGACCTCCCATATCATGTTGAATCGAAATGTCAAGAGTAATCATCCTTGTCAACATTGCTTCTTCCTTTTTAACTTGGTTGCTTTATTTATTATTTGTTGCTCAATTGCTCTGGCTAAGACCTCCCATATCATGTTGAATCGAAATGTCAAGAGTAATCATCCTTGTCTTGTTCTTGATCTTAGAGAAAAGACTTTTAGTGTTTTCTACTTGGGCTTGTTCCACATGGCCTTTATTATGTTGGGGTACATTCCTTCTCCACCCAATTTGTTGAGAGTTTTTAATCAGGAAAGGATATTGATTTTTGTCAAATGCTTTTATTGCCCTATTGGGATGATTATGTGCTTTTTTTCATTCAGTTATTTTTGTTCATCTTTCTAGATTTTGGTACAGTCAGTTCTAGTTACTCTATTATGACTGAAAATGGAATTTTCTAGCAAAGCCATGTACATTGAAAATAGAACTAACCATTGGTAAATTTGATTTTCTTGGGAAAAATTAAAGAATTGACCAAAAGCATTTTTTTTCCAGTGGAGGAATATGGAATCTCTGTTTGGAAATGGGGTTGGTTGTATGAGAAAACATTCTAGGCCTAGAATGTGTAAACACAAACAATGATGGTATTTTTCTTTCAATTATAATTATGTAAAATGCAACTAAGGTGATTTTGATTCCAAAATTGATAGCATGAAAGGTATTAATCATTCTCTTTTCTTAAGCTGGGTATTGACTATGTGGTTAGATATTTTTTATATCTGGTACATATGTTATAAATATTATTTGTATGTGTATAAAATGTTAAGAAATATATCCTGAAAGTACTTAAAGCCCTGATATAACCTAAAATAATAGCATGCTGTTTAGTACAAAGTAGATGAATTTGGAGGCTGATTGCCAGACTATTTTAGAATAGTGGGTATTAAGCCATCCTTTCAAAGGCACTCTGGCAGTAAATCATTAGTCTGTGAAGATCATTATTAGTTCCTGATAGTTAATGTTGGTCCCAGGTTTTGGTAGGGTACCTGTTCTCTATTTTTTGTGTTTGGGATGTCAGTCTAGAGGCTCTAAATGTGCTTTCAGATCATGGAAAGTATTAAAGACAGGTGAGGTAAATTACTTATTTTATATGCTAATTCACATTCTTAACCTGAAGTCTCCGCGCACTGGAGCTTCGTGTTGAAGTCTGCCCGCTCTCAGCCTCGGCCCTGCCCCTCTCTGTGCGCTGGGCAAGTAATGGCGCCTCTTGGTGTCCCAGCCCCGACTTCAGAGCCATCCGTGGGGCGATTGTGAGCCCTGAGCTGGTGGGAGTCACTGTTTGGTGTCCTGAGCAGTTCTTCTCAAACCTGTATCTGTACATTTATACTAAATATTTAACAGGATTCTCAAGATTACTAACATACTGTGTATTTCTAGGTGAATCCTCGAGCACTGCTGTTTGGTCACACAGCGTCAATCACCTGTTTGTCTAAAGCTTGTGCGTCTAGTGACAAACAGTATATTGTGAGTGCATCTGAGAGTGGGTAAGTATTTTCTTATTCGCTTTTTTCCGCTTAAGTCTTTAATGCAAATAGTACCAGTGTGTTAGTAAGTAGGGAATTTTATTTTATTTTTTGGGTATCTTTAAATAAATGTCTCAGTTGTCTCAACATAAAGCTATTTTAAATATGGCTTTCAAAATGAATTTTATCTTTATTAATGATTTTTATAGTACTTTTATTGTAATTTATGATCATGTCTTTGCCTTGCTTTTCAGAAACTCAGAATACCGTAAAAGTTAAAAGTATGGTCGTTAATCCCCATGGCATTTTTACTGAATTGGCAGACAACTTTGAGAGTTTTAAGAAACCTCAGTGTTGCTAGGTTAGCATAAATTTGGAAGATGAAGCCATACAAAAGTTTGATCAGTTATATTGAAGTATGTTAATATACTAACATAGCTATACCTAATCCTAAGTCTCGGATTAGAGGTTGCTTTTGAAGAGTTAGGTCATTGGACAGCAGGTGAAAGGTCTAGAATATGGGGAATAAGAACTTTTGGGGTGTTTAGAAAATTATATATTTATGTAATATGTTATTGAAGAGAGTTATTTAAGAACTTTTCCCTTCAACTCTCTAATTTATGAATTTGAAAAGAACCTTGTATAACTGAGAAGCAGTATCAGGTAAATTCATATTAGAATGCATATTCTAAACAGATCAAGTGAGTTTCCTTTGAAAAATTTATACCACATGGGATATAGGAAAGTGAAAGTTGCTCAGTTGTGTCCGACTCTTTGCAACCCCATGGACTGGCCATGGAATTCTCCAGGCCAAAATACTGGAGTGGGTAGCCTTTCTCTTCTTCAGGGGATCTTCCCAATCCAGGGATTGAACCCAGGTCTCCCACATTGCCGGCAGAGTCTTTACCAGCTGAACCACCAGGGAAGAACATTGAAGTGGGTAGCCTATCCCTTCTCCAGGGTATCTTCCTGACCGAGGAATCAAAGTGGGGTCTCCCACATTGCAGGTGGATTCTTTACCAACTGAGCTATCAGCGAAGCCCTAAGGCATCTTAAAGAATACCCTAATAATAAATGTCAGGATCACTGTATTCTATTAATGTTCTCTTCTGTTAAATACATCTTCAGTTTATTTCTTTAAAGGACAGGGCATATTGACATTTCTAATTGCGAATGTTGTTTCTTTAGTTTGAGATAAAGCTTTTTTCTTTTGGTCAGTCAGTTCAGTTGCTCAGTCGTGTTTGACTCTTTGCGACTCCATGAACTACAATAAAACTTTTGCAGCAAATGAGGAATCAAAACGGGAATATTGTGTTTAATTTGCAAAGATTTAGAAATCAGTTGACTTTAAGTTTTGTGTTTTGCAGTGCCAAATTTTCTAGCTATGTTGATAATCAATGGAAAATTGGAATGGTTTAAATTAAACATTTAGTTCTAGGTTTTGTCACCTGCCCTTCATATATCACTTAGGCATGTGCTGTGCTTAATTATTATCCTTACTTTGAGCTTGTGGGTGGGAGAGCAGCCACTCTGGCACAGAGGTAGGGGAGGAGAGTTCGGGAGGGCCTCCTAACAGTTCCGGCCAGAGCCGCTCCCGAGATTCCCCCAACTAAAAGGGAACCAGGAAGTGCAGTCCTCCCCGGTGCCCAGAAGGGCTGTGGACCGGGCAGGGGCGGTTAGGTTGGAGGGGGATTTAAGGCAGCAGCTGGGAGCGCCAGAATTTTTGGTGAACAGTGGTAATGCCTATATGCTGCTTTTTCTGAAATATGTCCGTTTTAATGGAAGATTAATTTAAACTACCGTGACAAAGTTGAACCGTGCTTTTAAAACTCAGATTTAAAGTCAGCTATTATTTTGTTTTATAGGGAGATGTGCCTCTGGGACGTGAATGATGGCAGATGTATTGAATTTACAAAATTAGCTTGCACACATACCGGCATACAGGTTGGTATTGATTTCTGCAGCCAGCCAACTCGGCACAGATGGGCAGTTTAAAAAATGTTTTTTTTTAAAAACACTGAATCTCTATTTTTATATGGAAAATGGGTGGGAATGGGTAATGGGACAGGAAGGCTAGAATTGCATCAGTTGAAATCTTCCTCGTGAGACAGCGCAGTGGGGGCGAAGACCGAGGAGCAGAGACGAGTGCTGGAAGGTGTAAGTCGGTCGTCGTCGCTGCTGGCGCTGCTCTTGCTTGGTGTCTTGGTTACCCAAGCGGGAGCCCTTTATTGGTTGGGTAAATAATGGAATTCTCTCTTGCTACAGCCCTTATGATTCCACTCATGACTGACACAATCCATTTAAAATTTTGTTTTTTTCTTTTTTGGCTGCTCTGGGTCTTTTCTAGTCGTGTTCCGCAGGCTCAGTGGTTGAGGCCTATGGGCTTAGTTGCCCCGAGACATGGGGGCTCTTCGTTCCCTGGCCAGGGATTGAACCTCTGATCGCTGCTTTGGAAGGCAGATTCGTAGCCACTGGACCATCAGAGAAGTCTGACACAGTCCACTTTTTGGACGATACCTTTTTCCTTGCTTGTGCAGTTGGCCTTGGGTCTGTAAAAGACATGACCTTTTCATATACCTACCTTAACTCAGGAATTTACAGGAATTTATAGCCTCTTGCCTACATTCCTGGTATTCCCCCTTATTCTTTCATAATTGTCAAATTCTTTGTGCTTCAGATTACTCATCATTTACTGCATTGAATGCTGGGAAAATTGCAGTGTATATAGAAAATGTGATTTATAGTGTTAATGGGGAAGGAGAGGGAGAGGAGGGAACTCAGATTTACAGCAGATATCTAGGCCTTTCTTGTGTGGTGTCTTATTTAGCCCCACCCATATGCTTATGCATCAGATGGGAGTATACCCTTTTACATGTAAGGAGGCTGATAGAGTGATTAGATAACTTGCCCCAGTCTCACAGTGAGTCATTACCAGCCCTAGGATCTCAGAACAGCTTTACCTGACCCTGGGGATTCTGTTCTTTCAGTTACATCATACCGCCTCCCTTAAAACAAACAAAATCATTTGTTGAGAAAGAAAACCTTCTGTACTAACACAAATTAGAAAAGCAATGGAAAATGTTTAGAGATGGTTAGTGTGATATAGATCTTTAGTGACTATTTATTGCCCTGGCAGAGCCTTTAAAAAATCGCTTCTTCAATGCTATTGGGGCATATGTTTTTTTTTTTTTCTTTTTAAAATTTTTTATTAAGACTGTGGTTGATTTACAATGTTGTGTTAGTTTCAGGTGTACAACTTTTTTTCTTTTAAGTGCTTGTTATCTTTATTGTTTTGCCATTCACATTTAGCTCTATGATCCATTTTGGTTTTTTTTTTTTTTTTTGGCCTCACTGTATGGCTTGTGGAATGTTAGTTCCCTGACCAGGGATTGAACCTGGGCCCTTGGCAGTGAGAGCATGGGGTCCTAACTACTGGACCGCCAGGGAATTCCTAGGACATACGCTGTTTATTTAAAGGGCCTATATTACTTTTTTTTTTTTAACCATATGAAGAGTCATTAAGTTTACAAAGAGAAAAGGGATAGTATATCATTTAGATTCATTGACTTTATAGATAATTTAATTGAAAAATTATATATCAGTCATTGGATATAAATATATTGACTGCTGTATAATTTTATGATTTAAAAACTTATGGTTTACAGTTTAAGAAAAATTAGTCAGTATATCTTCAGTGCCTCTGCTTCATCAGATCCAGTATTTAGGCCTTCTGTGTTCCGAGTGGCAGTCATCCCTAAGTAGAAGATACTTTTTGACAGATTTACTAGTGTGTGGCCATTGTTTCCTTTGTGATGCTGACCTCCTCAGGTCCAGAAGCAGGTTGTTCTTCTTTATATGTAGAAATGGTGAACCTTGATGACATTGGCACTTACTGAAATCAGAAGGAAGTGCCAACTTATTAAAAGAAGTCTTGGGGGCATCCCTCTTTAATAATTGGAGAACCTTTTTCTCCATTAAAGTAACCTTTTTTTTTGCCCATCTCAAAGTGTCTTGGAAGCTGAATTAGCATTTGGAAGATGGTTGGAGTGTACCTTTTAAGCAAAAATGAGAGGCGTTCAGTCGGGCAGTTCTGATAAACTATCCCTGCCCTCAGGACAGAGTGCTCACTAGTGACTGCAGTGCGCCTGTGTTTCCTGGCTGGTGGTGGGGGAGCCCTGCATCCATCCCTCCTTCCCATCCACCCCGTGACCCCGTCCGTGGGCCAAGGCTGCCTGCAGTCACGTGATTGTGTGCGTCCCTGGCAGTCCCTGGGAGCCCAGGTCCTGTGTCATGGGTCGACCCGAGATCTAGTGGCCCCTGCCTTCTGATAGTCTGGGGGTTTTATGGCTACCTGGCGCTTCGTTAACGTGCGCCGTGCTCCGTGTGTGTCTTAGGAAGTGCTCCCAGCACAGGGCGCTCCATAGTGGGGAAAGTCTCATCTGCTGCTGCTGAGCCCTGAGCGGCGGCTGGGTGGGTGTGGGAGCAGCCTGGACCCAGTTCCTCCCGCACCTCCCCAGTGCGGCGTGGTTACAGCACCATCCTGTGTGTGGTGTCCAGCTTGAACACATTTGATTTTGTATAAGGTCTAATCCCTTGGAAAGTAATAGTCTGGATACTAGAGGTCCCAGACTTCTAAAAATCTTCTAGGGAAATCATTCCACTAAGAGATAACTTATTTATTGATTGTTTGAGGCTAAGGGAAGACAGGCCCTTTGATAAGTTGATGGTCTTATTTTGATAGGCATTTTTTCTCTGCTTTTTGCTTGTTGGAAACCCTTCTTATCCTTTTGAGTTACTCTTGGCATGAGTGGCATCACTGTATTGGTTCTTTCTCTCCTTTTTCTTCCACAAAGTGTAAATGTGCACTACGAGAATCATTTATAATGATTGTCTTGCAGTCTAGTCTAAGATAACACATGGGTTACACAGAATTTACTTCTGATTTTGTTTGAATAGAATCATCCTTGCTTCTAAATTTTATTTGGTTATAACCAGTAATTACAAACCTGTACTCACTGATTCTCATTCACCTAAAACTCTATTACTTTTGTGTTCCACCCACACTGCTGTTTTGCTTTGATTTGTTCGTGAAGCTGATTTTATTCAGATGCTCTATTAATTCATTCAACAGTTTTATTTTAGGATGCTACAGGGGGACGAAATGGAAGCATTATCATGAATTCTGCTTCAAAATAGTTCAAAAGGGAAGATAAGATGTTAGGAAGGAAATAATTTTTATTAGAGATTTTGTGTATTGTTAGCATAACTTGATGTATGCACATGTGTATCCACAGACACATGTAATATGTACCATATAGTATGTAGGTACTGTATGTATAGTAGTATGTACTATATATCTGGAGGTACTACTGGAGAAATTGAGCATCCTACCAAGCTTGGTGAATGTATGTGAATCAAGTATCTTAAGTAAAGAACATTTAAACATTTTTTTCCTTCTAGTTCTACCAGTTCTCCGTTGGAAATCAGAGAGAAGGAAGGCTTCTCTGCCATGGTCATTACCCTGAAATCCTTGTGGTGGATGCCACCAGCCTTGAAGTGTTGTACTCCTTAGTCTCAAAGGTCTCTCCAGACTGGATCAGCTCTATGAGTGTTATTCGATCCCACCGAACACAAGGTCTGTGTGCCCTTTAGGAATTTCTGCACTATGGTTAGCTTACCATAGAGTTCTGTAGTGTATCAAATATTAATAGACTTGGTTATATTGTATTCTTCAATTTAAGAAATAGCAACGCTCATGATTTGTGTGGTCTGTCTCTACCGCCATAAAGGAGTCTTTGATTGAACTAAGATTTAAAGTATTAGATTATCTCCATTCCAAGGAATAAATCACTAGTTTTTGGCAGTCTTAGAGCAAGTCAGGAATTTTCTGAACTGGAAGAAGATCTTAACCCCTTGGAGGTATGTTGGGGGGAACCATAGTTTGTGTATTTCTTGGGCCCGCTTTGGTTACTTGCTTTGAAGAGGCGTAGGAAGTGTTTCCATTTTATGTGAAGGTAATGAAAAGGGAGGGGACTATACACAATTCAATTTAGTGACTGTTCCTGGTAAGCACTTGATGTGTAGTTAATGCTTGACAAATATGAGTGTGTTTTCTCCATTTCTGTTGAAACCGGCAGTGACAATTTTGAGAGCAAAAGTAAAGTTGTTCGGGAAAAGGATAGTAACACTGAACATTGAATGTGTATTCCTGTGTGGCTTTTGGTGTACTCCTGTAAGCCCTTCCTGATGACTTCGTGGCCACGTGCTCCGCTGGAAAGGCTAGTCTGTAACTACTGTCACCATTGACATGAGACTTCATGTACAGCGTGCTCCCTGCATCGGGCACATGCTTAGCATTTCCATGTGATAACCACTTCTCACAGTGCTCGGTGACGTAGCCACTACTGTTGTAGGACGTGTGGATGAGGAGACGGATGAAGTTTAGCATGATGGAGTCTGCACTTAGAGTCACACAGCAAGCCTGTGGCTTACTGGCTCCCAGATGGACCCCAGAGTGGTTGCTTTTACCAGTGGGTTACGTCATGCCCATTGGTAAACTGCCTTCCCTGGCAGTTTTCCATAGCTTTTTATTCAATGGCCATGCCGCAAATATTTATTGAGGGCCTACTCTTTTCTAGGTACAGAGGATTGAACTGCTGGCAGGACTCAAATTCTAGGAAGGGAGGATGATATATAAACAAATGGCAGTTTCGGTGTGTGATGTGTGAAAAGACAGAGAAATAGTACAGAGGCCAGAATTAGCAAAGGCAGTGAAGTGGCTTTGAGGGCAAGTAGGGAGGCTGCCCAGATTTGATGAAGTCTCATCTAGGCTTTGGAAGGTGAAGACGAGTTTGTCAGACGTGGGGTCGTGATGTTTCTGGCAGAGGAAGTAGTTTGTACACAGGTGCATAAAGCCTTGGGGGCTTCCCAGGTGGCGCTAATGGTAAAGAACCCTCCTTCTAGTGCAGGAGACATAAGAGATGTGGGTCTGACCCCTGGGTCGGGAAGATCCCCTGGAGGAGGAAATGGCAACCCACTCCAGTATTCTTGCCTGGAGAATCCCAGGGATGGCGGAGCCTGGCGGGCTGTAGTCCATGGGGTTGCACGGAGTTGGACATGACTGAAGCAACTTAGCACGCACACGTGTAAACCCTTATGTAGGTATGCATGGGAAATAGCCATCTGTCTAGTATATATGCTTGTATTATGGTCTGAACAGGGTAGAATGCAACTTTAATGGAATATGTTGTGCTGTACATACAGTTCTAAATGTTGTCCCTTTACAATGTTGCTACCATACTTATTTTTAATCTACTTTGCCATATTCTCGTGTGTGGAGATTTTAGAATTTTGGATTTATTGGTATATTGCACTTTTACTGTAATTGACAACTTGTGAGCAGTTCTAGCTTCTTTATACAATGATCATGGAATTGTAATCAGTGCATTTCAGCACTTAAACTTGCCGAGGGAACCAGGCATTACAAATAAAGTTTTTACTGAAAGATAGTAAGCAATTCTTTTCAATAACAGTGATGACTAATCTGTACTGACGGGCCAAGGGCTATACCTGTGGTGTCTTAATTCTCATAACAACCTATTAAGCTAAGTGCTGTCGTTATGTTATTCATTTATATTTGCCTGCTGCAGCTGCTGCTGCTAAGTCACTTCAGTCGTGTCTGACTCTGTGTGACCCCATAGACGGCAGCCCACCAGGCTCCGCCGTCCCTGGGATTCTCCAGGCAAGAACACTGCAGTGGGTTGCCATTTCCTTCTCCAATGCATGAAAGTGAGAAGTGAAAAGTGAAAGTGAAGTCATTCAGTCATGTCCAACTCTTCGCGACCCCATGGACTGCAGCCTACCAGGCTCCTCCGTCCGTGGGATTTTCCAGGCAAGAGTACTGGAGTGGGTTGCCACTGCCTTCTCTGTTATATTTGCTTATAGATAAGCAAATTGAATTTAAGGTAGGTTCGTTCAGGTATCCACAGTTCAGTGGTTAATTAGTGAAGAAAATGAGATTTTTAAAACGTCCGTCCATTGCCCTGGAGCCTACCTTAGACTGCTGTCTGACGCCCCGCCTCGCAGAGTCTGTGAATATTACTGTGGTGCTGTGATTCCCCCCTCACCCGAAGCTGATGGGGTTAGCTTTTATACCATGTCTTTCCCTTGGTCGTGGTCTATGGAGAGAGTGAGTGAGGGAGTGAAGGTCGCTCAGTCGTGTCCGACTCTTTGTGACCCCATGGACTATACAGTCCATGGGATTCTCCAGGCCAGAATACTGGAGTGGGTAGCCTTTGCCTTCTCCAGGGGATCTTCCCAACCCAGGGATCAAACCCAGGTCTCCCTTACTGCAGGCGGATTCTTTACCAGTTGAGCCACAATAAAATGTCTTGAAGGCAGGTGAGGTAGGTGGGAAGGGAAATGTGTGCCCTGAAGAAACAATATGAATGTGCTTCCTTAGGACAAATAAAAGTGAACTTTGAAGACTAAAGGTTGTTTTTTAATTTTTAAAATTTGTTCTTAAAAAGTTCTTTAAGGTTAATTGTTGACATGATAATCAAGAATGTTTGAGATTATTAAAGCCTACAAGTTAGAAATAAGAAATCAAGCAGCTAAAAACAGGTTTTCTTTGAATTCCGCATGTTTGATCATCTTTATTAATCTGTGTCTCAAAATCTGGTTTCTGTTATTTCCTAAAACCGAGAATTAGGTTTTCATGCTAATTGTAAAACATGCTGTTACTTAGTTTGGTTAAAGCAAACCATGGTCCACGTCCCTGCTGTGGCCACGTTACTGTGTAGAAAGCGATCATACTTCGCGTGTAACCGGCTGCTTCTCCCTTCTCGGTGCAGAGGACACCGTGCTGGCACTCTCAGTGACGGGCATCTTGAAGGTGTGGATCGTCACCTCGGAAATCAGCGACCTGCAGGTGAGACAAAGCAGGCCGGAAGTGGGTTCTCTGTTTTTGTTCTTGAGGAGTCTTACATTGTAGTCACAATAGGCTGCTTCCCTTTTTTGCTTAAAGAGGAAAGAAAAAGCTTTCCTTTTACGTAGTCTTACTGACATAGTGGAGAAGATTCCCCTAGAATGCCATCTCTGTCCATGAACTATTGTTTTCCCTTTTGATGGTAGATGTCTGCTTTATCAAGGATGCAAAGCAGAGAAACATACTGTACAGGGTATGGGGTGGAGAATCACAGAAGAGGGCTTTCCTCCGCTGCTTCTCTTTAAATGGAAAAGGCAGTTTGCTTGAGGTGGGGGAAAGCAAACTTCTGCAAAAAGGCTACAAAGCCAATGTTAGTCCTCTGAGTTCCTTAGACTTGAATTCCTTCTTGCTTTTCATCAGTAAGAAAGGCAGATCAAGTATCTGGCAGGAGATACTAATCTCTTCTGTTAGGGAATTTTTAGACATTGAATCTGGGAGAAACTGGAGGAAATGATGTTTTCTTGTTGTTGTTGTTGTTTTTAACCTACAAGCTTATGTATGAAACTGACAAATTAAGATTAACTAAAATTTTTAGCATCTGTCATTGCCAGTGATGACACTCAGACTCTCATTAGTCTATTAATCTTGAGTAGTTTGTAGCGAAGATGTTGTGCCCACGTGATTTTAGAGTGTATTTTGGCTGCCTTATACTACCTTAGTGCTCGACATGAGGGGCTAAATTGATGAGCACATCAAGTGACGCCTTTGTTTTGTTTTGTTTTCTTTATCATTGTGTGATAATTTAAATTGACAATCCTGCCGACCCTAAAGTTTTTACAAATATTTCTCTCTTCAGGATACTGAGCCAATATTTGAGGAGGAATCCAAACCAATTTACTGTCAGAATTGCCAAAGCATCTCTTTCTGTGCGTTCACACAAAGGTCACTTTTGGTGGTGTGCTCCAAGTATTGGAGGGTAAGATAACTACATAAGTAAGAAACTGCATTTTTGCTCTTCAAGATTTTGGTTGATCAGCTTTCTAAAGATAATTGTAAGGAGAAGCTTGGTGTTAGAATATTTTAAATATTTGGTCTGTTTTTGATATATTCTGAGGTGTGGAATTTGGCTACATAATTGCCTTTTTGATTTGGTTAATAGAATGATTCAGTCAGTGTTTATTGGTTCTTAACTTCTGTGTTTTGCCGCCGTACTCTTCATTGCCTTGTCAGTACGGCATGGGCAATGGTAGTGAATTCTGCAAGTTGGGACATATCTTTGTAGGTTATCATTCCCAATTGCCATCCTTTTCTGACGTCTTGGAATCAGGAAGGTCTTCTTCTGTCACTTTAGAGCTAACAGTGAAAGGTGCATATTGCTTTTCACATTGCTAGACTTTAATGTTTCCTTAATAGAAAAAGAGCCCGCAAGTTTTGATTACCTGCTATAGTGCCTATCATATTTTCCAAAGCTTTCCATGTATTATTTGGAAATAACAATCTGAGGGGTGAAGAACACTCTTGAGAGTCCCTTGGACTGCAAGGAGATCTAACCAGTCCATCCGAAAGGAAACCAGTCCTGAGTGTTCATTGGAAGGACTGATGCTGAAGCTGAAACTCCAACACTTTGGCCACCTGATGCGAAGAGCTGACTCATTGGAAAAGACCCTGCTGTTGGGAAAGACTGAGGGCAGGAGGAGAAGGGGACGACAGAGGATGAGGTGGTTAGATGGCATCACTGACTCAATGGACATGAGTTTGAGTAAACTCTGGGAGTTGGTGATGGACAGGGAGGCCTGGCGTGCTGCGGTTCATGTGGTTGCAAAGAGTCGGACACGGCTGAGCGACTGAACTGAACTTTCTTACTAGAAAAAAAGTAGGAAAAAACTGGGAGTCGTCACCATGCATGCTGGAGGTTGGGTGCTTGTCATGTGATGGAGCACCCTTCCCTTTAGCTGAGAAAGACTAAGGATTCCTGTCCGTGTGGATGCAGCACCCCTGACCCCTGCTGTCACAGTCTTGCCTGTCCACCGGAGACTGGGGATGTGTCATGGTTTCCCTGTTGAAGGTAACTGTGCCCCAGGGTTCACTGACAAAATGTCTTTAACTGAGGTAGCCAACTGTAAAGGCCTGAGGTTATTAAATATGGTTCTAGAAGTTTTTATTTCAGTTAAAATGTTGCTGTGTTTTACTTAAGTGACCCCAGCATGGACTTGAATGTGAATCTCTTACTCCTCCTAGGTATTTGATGCTGGAGACTACTCCCTGTTGTGCTCGGGTCCGAGTGAAAACGGGCAGACGTGGACGGGAGGTGACTTTGTCTCAGCCGATAAAGTCATCATCTGGACTGAAAATGGGCAGAGTTACATTTACAAGCTACCTGCCAGGTACTCAATAAATAATGAGTTAGGACTTTAATCAAAAGCGAGAGATTGCATGATTTCAGTGAGCCCAGGCTCTTGCATCTTCCCATACAAAGAAAAGCACTAAATTCTTTAACTTGAGGTAACTGGTTTTCCTTAATTAACAATAATTTTTGATGTTTAGACTACCTGCCGCTTGTTGCAAACTTTTTTATAGCTTGGCTTCTCCCCCTCTGCCTCCATGGAACAGTTCTTTCAGGGTTACTTAAGATGCTCTCTCCTGGGTTTGAAGTCCTAAAAACTGCCACCAAATAAAATATAACTCTTAAAAAAAGAGAAAGAAGCAAGTGATTACACATTTGCGATGTAATCTGAAAGTATGGAAATATAGAAAGTATAAATATTTAATTTAGGTAAAAAAAATTTGAGAACTTAAGTTTGTAATTGTAGTTTCATGTCTAAGCACAATAATTAGGTGGATTTTTTTTTCCATTTATTTTTATTAGTTGGAGGCTAATTACTTTACAGTATTGTAGTGGTTTTTGCCATACATTGACATGAATCAGCCATGGATTTACATGTGTTTCCCCATCCCAATCCCCCCTCCCACCTCCCTCTCCATCCCATCCCTCTGGGTCTTTCCAGTGCACCAGCCCCGAGCACTTGTCTCATGCATCCAGCCTGGGCTGGTGATCTGTTTCACCCTTGATAATATACATGTTTCGATGTTGTTCTCTTGAAACATCCCACCCTTGCCTTCTCCCAGAGTCCAAAAGTCTGTTCTGTACATCTGTGTCTCTTTTTCTGTTTTGCATATAGGGTTATCGTTACCATCTTTCTAAATTCCATATATATGTGTTAGTATACTGTATTGGTCTTTATCTTTCTGGCTTACTTCACTCTGTATAATGGGCTCCACTTTCATCCATCTCATTAGAACTGATTCAAATGAATTCTTTTTAATGGCTGAGTAATATTCCACGGTGTATATGTACCACAGCTTCCTTATCCACTCATCTGCTAATGGGCATCTAGGTTGCTTCCATGACCTGGCTATTATAAACAGTGCTGCGATGAACATTGGGGTGCACGTGTCTCTTTCAGATCTGGTTTCCTCAGTGTGTATGCCCAGGAGTGGTATTGCTGGGTCATATGGCAGTTCTATTTCCAGTTTTTGAAGAAATCTCGACACTGTTCTCCATAGCGGCTGTATTAGTTTGCATTCCCACCAACAGTGTAAGAGGGTTCCCTTTTCTCCACACCCTCTCCAGCATTTATTGCTTGTAGACTTTTGGATAGCAGCCATCCTGACTGGTGTGTAATGGTACCTCATTGCGGTTTTGATTTGCATTTCTCTGATAAAGAGTGCTGTTGAGCATCTTTTCATGTGTTTGTTAGCCATCTGTATGTCTTCTTTTCAGAAGTGTCTGTTTAGTTCTTTGGCCCGTTTTTTGATTGGGTCATTTATTTTTCTGGAATTGAGCTGCAGGAGTTGCTTGTATAATTTTTGAGAATTATCCTTTGTCTGTTGCTTCGTTTGCTATTATTTTCTCCTAATCTGAGGGCTGTCTTTTCACCTTGCTTATAGTTTCCTTTGTTATGCAAAAGCTTTTCAGTTTAATTAGGTCCCATTTGTTTATTTTTGCTTTTATTTCCAATATTCTGGGAGGTGGGTCATAGAGGATCCTGCTGTGATTTATGTCGGAGAGTGTTTTGCCTATGTTCTCCTCTAGGAGTTTTATAGTTTCTGGTCTTATATTTAGATCTTTAATCCATTTTGAGTTTATTTTTGTGTATGGTGTTAGAAAGTGTTCTAGTTTCATTCTTTTACAAGTGGTTGACCAGTTTTCCCAGCACCACTTGTTAAAGAGGTTGTCTTTTTTCCATTGTATATTCTTGCCTCCTTTGTCGAAGATAAGGTGTCCATAGGTTCATGGATTTATCTCTGGGCTTTCTATTCTGTTCCATTGATCTATATTTCTGTCTTTGTGCCAGTACCATACTGTCTTGATGACTGTGGCTTTGTAGTATAGTCTGGAGTCAGGCAGGTTGATTCCTCCAGTTCCATTTTTCTTTGTCAAGATTACTTTGGCTATTCGAGGTTTTTTGTATTTCCATACAAATTGTGAAATTATTTGTTCTAGTTCTGTGAAAAATACCATTGGTAGCTTGATATGGATTGCATTGAATCTATAGATTGCTTTGGGTAATATAGTCATTTTGACAATATTGATTCTTCCAATCCATGAACACGGTATATTTCTCCATCTGTTTGTGTCTTCTTTGATTTCTTTAATCAGTGTTTTATAGTTTTCTATGTATAGGTCTTTTGTTTCTTTAGGTAGATATACTCCTAAGTATTTTATTCTTTTTGTTGCAATGGTGAATGGTATTGTTTCCTTAATTTCTCTTTCTGTTTTCTCATTGTTAGTGTATAGGAATGCAAGAGATTTCTGTGTATTAATTTTATATCCTGCAACTTTACTATATTCATTGATTAGCTCTGGTAATTTTCTGGTAGAGTCTTTAGGGTTTTCTATGTAGAAGATCATGTCATCTGCAAACAGTGAGAGTTTCATTTCTTCTTTTCCTATCTGGATTCCTTTTACTACTTTTTCTGCCCTGATTGCTGTGGCCAACACTTCCAAAACTATGTTGAATAGTAGTGGTGAGAGTGGGCACCCTTGTCTTGTTCCTGATTTCAGGGAAAATGCTTTCAATTTTTCACCATTGAGGGTAATGCTTGCTGTGGGTTTGTCATATATAGCTTTTATTATGTTGAGGTATGCTCCTTCTATTCCTGCTTTCTGGAGAGTTTTAATCATAAATGGATGTTGAGTTTTGTCAAAGGCTTTTTCTGCATCTATTGAGATAATCATATGGTTTTTATCTTTCAATTTGTTAATGTGGTGTATCACATTGATTGATTTGCGGATATTAAAGAATCCTTGCATTCCTGGGATAAAGCCCACTTGGTCATGGTGTATGATTTTTTTAATATGTTGTTGGATTCTGTTTGCTAGAACTTTGTTAAGGATTTTTGCATCTATGTTCATCAGTGATATTGGCCTGTAGTTTTCTTTTTTTGTGGCATCTTTGTCTGGTTTTGGAATTAGGGTGATGGTGGCCTCATAGAATGAGTTTGGAAGTTTACCTTCTGCAATTTTCTGGAAGAGTTTAAGTAGGATAGGTGTTAGCTCTTCTCTAAATTTTTGGTAGAATTCAGCTGTGAAGCCATCTGGTCCTGGGCTTTTGTTTGCTGGAAGATTTCTGATTACAGTTTCGATTTCCTTGCTTGTGATGGGTTTGTGAAGATCTTCTATTTCTTCCTGGTTCAGTTTTGGAAAGTTATACTTCTCTAAGAACTCGTCCGTTTCTTCCAAGTTGTCCATTTTATTGGCATAGAGCTGCTGGTAGTAGTCTCTTATGATCCTTTGTATTTCGGTGTTGTCTGTTGTGATCTCTCCATTTTCATTTCTAATTTTGTCAATTTGGCTCTTCTCCCTTTGTTTCTTAATGAGTCTTGATAATGGTTTGTCAATTTTGTTTAATTTTTCAAAAAACCAGCTTTTAGCTTTGTTGATTTTTGCTATGGTCTCTTTAGTTTCTTTTGCATTTATTTCTGCCCTAATTTTTAAGATTTCTTTCCTTTTACTAACCCTGGGGTTCTTCATTTCTTCCTTCTCTAGTTGCTTTAGGTGTAGAGTTAGGTTATTTATTTGACTTTTTTCTTGTTTCTTGAGGTAAGCCTGTAATGCTATGAATTTTCCCCTTGGCACTGCTTTTACAGTATCCCATAGGTTTTGGGTTGTTGTGTTTTCATTTTCATTCATTTCTATGCATATTTTGATTTCTTCTCTGAATTGTTGGTTATTCAGAAGCATGTTGTTTAGCCTCCATATGTTTGAATTTTTAATAATTTTTTTCCTGTAATTGAGATCTAATCTTACTGCACTGTGGTCAGAAAAGATGACTGGAATGATTTCAATCTTTTTGAATTTACCAAGACTAGATTTATGGCCCAGGATGTGACCTATTCTGGCGAAGGTTCCGTGTGCACTTGAGAGAAAGGTGAAATTGATTGTTTTGGGGTGAAACGTCCTATAGATGTCAATTAGGTCTAGCTGGTCCATTGTGTCCTTTAAAGTTTGTGCTTCCTTGTTCATTTTCTGTTTAGTTGATCTATCCATAGTTGTGAGTGGGGTATTAAAGTCTCCTACTATTATTGTGTTACTATTAATTTCCTCTTTCATACTCGTTAGCGTTTGCCTTACATATTGCGGTGCTCCTATGTTGGGTGCATATATATTTATAATTGTTATATTTTCTTGGATTGATCCTTTGATCATTATGTAGTGCCCTTCTTTGTCTCTTTTCACAGCCTTTATTTTAAAGTCTATTTTATCTGATATGAGTATTGCGACTCCTGCTTTCTTTTGGTCTCTGTTTGTGTGAAATATTTTTTTCCAGCCCTTCACTTTTAGTCTGTATGTGTCCCTTGTTTTGAGGTGGGTCTCTTGTAGACACTTATATAGGGGTCTTGTTTTTGTATCCATTCAGCCAGTCTTTGTCTTTTGGTTGGGTAAATCAACCCATTTGCATTTAAGGTAATTATTGATAGGTATGGTCCCGTTGCCATTTATTTTGTTGTTTGGGGTTCACGTTTATACCACCTTTCTGTGTTTCCTGTCTAGAGAAGATCCTTTAGCATTTGTTGAAGAGCTGGTTTGGTGGTGCTGAATTCTCTCAGCTTTTGCTTGTCTGTAAAGCTTTTGAATCCTCCTTCATATCTGAATGAGATCCTTGCTGGGTACAGTAATCTCGGTTGTAGGTTATTCTCTTTTATTACTTTAAGTATGTCCTGCCATTCCCTTCTGGCCTGAAGGGTTTCTATTGATAGATCAGCTGTTATCCTTATGGGAATCCCTTTGTGTGTTATTTGTTGTTTCTTCCTTGCTGCTTTTAATATTTGTTCTTTGTGTTTGATCTTTGTTAATTTGATTAATATGTGTCTTGGGGTATTTTGCCTTGGGTTTATCCTGTTTGGGACTCTCTGGGTTTCTTGGACCTGTGTGACTTTTTCCTTCCCCATTTTAGGGAAATTTTCAGCTATTATCTCCTTGAGTATTTTCTCACGACCTTTCTTTTTGTCTTCTTCTTCTGGGACTCCTATGATTCATGTTGGGACATTTCACATTGTCCCAGAGGTCCCTGAGGTTGTCCTCATTTCTTTTGATTCTTTTTTCCTCTCTGCTTCATTTATTTCCACCATTTTATCTTCTATCTCACTTATCCTATCTTCTGTCTCTGTTATTCTACTGTTGGTTCCCTCCAGAGTGCTTTTCATCTCATTTATTGCATTATTCATTTTTAATTGACTCTTTTTTATTTCTTCTAGGTCCTTATTAAACATGTCTTGCATCTTCTCAATCTTTGTCTCCAGGCTATTTATCTGTAACTCCATTTTGTTTTCAAGATTTTGGATCATTTTTATTATCATTGTTCTAAATTCTTTTTCAGGTAGATTCCGTATCTCCTCCTCTTTTGTTTGACTTGGTGGGCATTTTTCATGTTCCTTTACCTGTTGAGTATTTCTCTGCCTTTTCATCTTGTTTAGATTGCTGTGTCTGGAGTGGGCTTTCTGTATTCTGGTGGTCTGTGGTTCCTTTTTATTGTGGAGGTTTCACCCAGTGGGTGGGGTTGGATGATTGGCTTGGCAAGGTTTCCTGGTTAGGGAAGCTTGCGTCGATGTTCTGGTGCGTGGAACTGAATTTCTTCTCTCTGGAGTGCAATGGAGTGTCCAGTAGTGAGTTTTGAGATGGGTCTATGTGTTAGGTGTGACTTTGGGCAGCCTGTATGTTGACGCTCAGGACTATGTTTCTGCGTTGCTGGAGAATTTGCGTTGTATGTCTTGCTCTGGAGCTTATTGGCTCTTGGGTGGTGGTTGGTTTCAGTGTAGGTATGGAGGCTTTTGGATGATCTCTTATTACTTAATGTTCCCTGTAGTCAGGAGTTTTCTGGTGTTCTCAGGTTTTGGGCTTAAGTCTCCTGCCTATGGATTTCAGTCTTATTCTTCCAGTAGTCTCAAGACTTCTCCAACTATCCAGCACTGATAATAAAACTTCTAGGTTAATGGTGAAAAGATTCTCCACCGTGAGGGACACCCAGAGAGGTTCACAGAGTTACATGAAGAGGAGAGGGAGGAGGGAGATAGAGATGAGCAGGAAGAGAAAAAGGGGGACTGAAGAGGAGAGAGACAGATCTACGCAGTTCTCTGTTCCCAAAGTGTTCTCCATAGCCCAGAACACCCACAGAGATTCACAGAATTGGATTGGGAAGATAAGGGGAAGGGAGGAAATAGAGGTGTTCTGAGGTAGAAAATGGAGAGTCAAAAGTGGGAGAAAGTAATCAACACACTGCTGAGTAAAAATGGGTACTGAATATTGTATTCTTAAATGTCCAAAATTGATATCAAATACTGAAAAACAAAGATTAAAAATCTAGGGTAGAGGTTAGATTCTTAAAAATACAATATTAAAAACAAAAACACAAAAAATTTTAGAAATATGTATGAAGTTCGGTTTAAAAATAGGGCCTCTTCTTTTTTTTTTGCAAGGTTATAGTGAAATGAAAATGAAAATTAAGGAGTAATAGAGGAGTAATACAGAGGACTTTAAAAGAAAATAGGAGAAAAAAATAAAAAAAGAAAAAATTTTTTTCTAATTAAAAAAATAGTAAAAATATATGAAAATGAAAGTTAAGGAGTAATGGAGGAGTAATAGGGAATTTTAAAAGAAAATAAAAGAGAAAAAATTTAAAAAAAGAAAAAAAATTTTTTTTCTTTAATTAAAAAAAAAAAGTAAAAATATATCTAGGAATTTCTCTGGAGCTGTTGTGGTCAGTGTGGGTTCAGTTCAGTTTCAGATAGCTCCTCATTCCAGCTTACACTTCTCAATATCTACAGGCCCCTTCCGGCGTAGTCGGTGTTATCTACGGGGATTTTAATCTGTTGCACCGGTCCCTTCTGAAGCGGTTCCCTTTGTTTATTTGGCTTCTGTTTGCCGTCTCTTCCGTGTCTAATTTCCGCCCTGACACAGGCGGGCGGAGGTGGCGGTCCCTTGTTTAGGTTCGCTGGTTCAGTGCGCTGCGGGGAGGGCGGGGCGCTGCAGACAAATGTCACTGGCGTGTGTGGGGCGCACTCGCACTGTTCCGGCCACACTGGGTTTGCCCCGTTCACGGTGTGTGCTCTCCCCGTCTACACTGCTCAGGCTCCCGGCTTCTCTGTATGGAGCGGGCCCTGCGTTGTGTGCGGTTCCCGTTTTCGGGTACTCCACAAAAGCGCGGACTCGGTTGGGCTGTGTTTTGTGCCTTCCCCGGCCAAGCAGCTCAGGCAGCCTGGAGCTTGAGGGGCGCGCTCTCCCCGGGTGCGGCGCGCCTTCTCCCCTCTGCGGTCCCAGCCTCAGTTTCTGTGCGCGCTGGTCGGGTGCGCCTTATGTCTGTTCTGGGGGGCTGGCCTCTAGCCACAACCCTCCTGGCAGATGTCAACCATCCAAAATCTCAGGAAGTCTGGTTAGAGACTGGGAGCCGGTTTGCAGTTTGGTAAGGGGTGCCGTCTCTGGGGCCGAGTTTGCCCCTTTCCACTTCCCGCTGCCTCCTGCCTCCGGCGGGGGATGGGCCAGCCCGCCACCAGCTAGCTCTTCTCTGGGATGGCTCAGTTCTTCCTTTGTTCTGCGAATGGGCCCACAGTGTGTTCGGGCCGGTTGATTTTCTCTCTCTCTCTTGCTGTCCCACAGTTCAAGTTGCTTCACATTAGCTCCCTCCGATTGCCCTCAGGGCATTTGGGCCCAGTCCTTACCCTAAGCAATGCTGCCGGCTCCTCTCCGTTCTGCCCCAACTTGCTGGTGGCGGATGCGGGCGTCTGGGGTACTTTTCTGCTGGGAGTTGCTTTTAGGCATGTAATCTGTGGGTTTTATTTATTTTTCCTCCCAGTTAGGTTGCCCTCTGAGATTCAAAAACTTCCCCCAGACTCGCCAGTGTGAGGGTTTCCTGGTGTTTGGAAACTTCCTCTATTACGCCTCCCTTCCCGGGACGGGTCTCTGTCCCTAACTCTATTGTCTCTCTTTTTATCTTTTATATTTTGTCCTACCTCCTTTCGAAGACGATGGGCTGCTTTTCTGGGCGCCTGATGTCTTCTGCTAGCGGTCAGAAGTTATTTTGTGAAGTTTGCTCAGCATTCAAATGTTCTTTGGATGAATTTGTAGGGGAGAAAGTGGTCTCCCCGTCCTATTCCTCTGCCATCTTAGCTCCTCCTCCCATTAGGTGGATTTTTATTTGAGTAAGAGATTTTAATAACATTATTTAATGCCTATATTAAATTAACTATAAAACAATCCATATATTGTCCATTGTGAAAAAACCTCATCAGATGGTGTGATACAGTATTTAATGTCAGTGGTTTTTTTTACTGAATGTTGTATTTTCCTCACTCTCAGTTGCCTTCCAGCTAGTGATTCATTCCGCAGCGATGTGGGGAAAGCAGTCGAAAGTTTAATTCCTCCAGTGCAGCACAGCCTCTTGGACCGAACAGATAAAGAGGTAAAATTCTTCAGGTATCATTTATAGTTGGTGGCTATGTTGAAAAATTTCCACAACTGTAATTATTAGTGTCTTTTGGTAGCTAAGCATTTCAAAGATTGATTGCCATTCAAGGCACTCTGTTAGGCGTAAATCATTTTGACATGGTTATCATAAGCATAATTTGTGCATTTGCTTATAATATGCCTGTATGAAAGAGGAAATGGCAACTCCCTCCAGTATTCCTGCCTGGAAAATTCCATGGACAGAAGAGACTGGTTGGCTGCAGCCTGTGGGGTCACAAAGACCCAGACATGACTGACCATGCATGTGTGCATAATATGCCTACAATATAAGCATTCCCTTTATCCAGGAAGAAAAGTGATCTCATACTGATTACACAGTGGCAATGACTTTTTGATAAAATTCACATTGATGTTATAAATTGATTTTACCAAACTCATGCAGTTCTAAACACAGTGACAGATGTAATTTTAGAATGACAAAGATAATTATATAATAATGCTGACTGATTATTGTTTGAATAAGTACTGCAGTATTTCTCCCAAATCATGTAGTGATTTAAATCATTAGGCATTAGAAATAAAGAATAAAAGAATGTTTTCTCTATAAAAAGAAAATTTCATCATGACTTCTAGTGCTGGTTGCTCGGCTGTCTCCGACTGTGTGACCCCGTGGACTGTAGTCCCTCCGGCCCCTCTGTCCTTGGGGCCTCCCAGGCAAGAATAATGCAGAGGGTTGCCATTCTTTTCTCCAAGGAATCTTCTTGACCCAGGGATTGAATCCACGTCTCCTGCGTTGTTTCTAAAAACCTACCTAATATCAATGTAAAGTTGAAATGCACTTAGTAGTGGGTTTTCAACTCTGTGTTCTTTGAACATTAAGATAGAAGCTTTGGTTTTGGAAATAAAGTTTCCTTTACTTATGATCTGGGTTTCCATAACTTTTTCATTCTTAGCATTTTGTTCTATCTTTATGTGGAGGGATGGCAAGGGGATCGCTTGCCATTTTCCATGAATATTTTGAATATATAGAATTTATCCATCCATGTATAATTAAGATCCTTTATGACCTGTCCTTTATTCTCTTAACTTAAACTGCTACTTACTGATAGATAAATAAAACTAGTAAACTAGACAGTCACTTCTGCTTAAACTAAGGGATAATGACTTACATAGAAAACATACCTGATGGAAATTCTCTGTCTGTTCGGTCGTTAGGGCTTGCTGTTTACTGCTGGGCCCGGGTTCAGTCCCTGATCGGGGAAGTAACATCCCACAGGCTGCACTGTGCAGCAAAAAAACCAAACAAAACATGAAACAAAAAGTGCATATTATATTTCCTTAAGTATCAGCTCACCAGTTCATGTATTATGTGGTGCGAGATACACATTGTAGTACAGAATACTGGTTATTCCAACTTTGTAGCACCTTTTCCTGGTTAAACATGTTTATCAGTCAAACTTTTAGTAATTTTCAGACTAAGTTAAACCAAATAATTGGCCATGCTTAATGCATGTAATTTCTATAGGGTAGTGCTTTTTAGCACTGATACTGAATATAGATTATTTACTTTTTGTTTTTTAACTGCTTTTCAGGATAAGCTTACATACTTTCATACTCAAGTTTTAGTGTATTAATCATCTAAATTTAAATTTAGGAGTCCACCACTATTTAGTATTTTCAAATAAGTGGTCTCACTGAAGATACAGGATCTTAAGCAGAAAATAATGTGCTTTAAAAATGAAAGTATATGCAAGATCCTAATGAATGGTTTTTGTTCCTAGTAGTTTGTAGCTATCATATCAGGCTAGGTTCAAGTTGATTATGAAAATGTGATCAAGTGATAAAAGTGAAAAGTATTAGTTGCTTATTCATGCCCCACACTTTGACACCCCAAGGTGTGTAGTCCACCAAGCTCTTCTGTCTATGGGATTCTCCAGGCCAGAATACTGGAGTGGGTAGCCATTCCCTTCTCCAGGGCATCTTCTAGACCCAGGGATCAAACCCAGGTCTCCTGCATTGCAGGCAAATTTTTTAGCACTGAGCCACCAGGGATGTTTTGTGCTATTAGTTGAAAAATAGTCTAATTAAAAAAAAAAAAAACAGTCCTCTAGTGGTACAGCATGGTAGTTTAGTTTTATAGCCATTCTTGGTGAATAGCTAATAAGGAATGGGCAGAATACCCTCTTTTTGGTATAGAGGGGTATATCTTTGCTTAATAATAGACAAATAATTGCAGTGTGGTTTTTATAAAGCAGAGAAAAAGAATAAAAATGTTAATTCTAGAGAAAGACTATATAAATATAGTTTTCATTTCTTTGAATGTTTGTGTTATATATACCGGATTTGAGTATTAGTTGACATATATTTATATCAATGCTACAAAATTAATTAAAATATTATTGAACACTCATTCTATAAATACACTGTTTTTTTTTACTCTGGCACTGAGATGAAGTACTTTACATCCTAATCTGAAGAAACTTAACTGTGAAATATTTTGTTTTAAAAGATAGGAAAGGGAATTTGAACAATTTTTTTTTTTTACAGTTGCTAATTTGTCCTCCTGTGACTCGATTCTTCTATGGATGCAAAGAATACTCCCACAAACTATTAATTCAGGGTGATTCTTCTGGAAGATTGAATATTTGGAACATATCAGACACACCTGATAAGCCGGAAGGTAATGGAGGTTCTAGAAACTCACGTGCAGTTATTTCTCAGTGTTTCTAACTGAACAACCTGGACAGTAGCCACTGTATAGCCAGTTCATAATATACACATGTCCTTTTCTTCTTAGAATGATAGTTGATGACAGTTATTCTTTGGAATTTCATGGTATCAACTGTAAGCACGTTTATTTTTACGTGTTGAATTGGTTTTCTTTTCTTTTTCTAACATGCTCAAATATGTTTCTTTTCTACCACACAAAACCTCCACAGGGCGAGAAATGACCACATCTATTAGTCTGCAAGAGGCCTTTGATAACCTGAACCCGTGTCCTGCTGGAATTATAGATCAGCTGAGCGTGATCCCCAATAGTAGCGAACCTCTTAAGGTGACAGCAAGTGTGTACATACCAGCGCACGGACGGCTCGTCTGTGGCCGTGAAGACGGAAGCATCGTCATCGTCCCCGCCACGCAGACGGCCATAGTGCAGCTTCTGCAGGGCGAGCACATGCTCCGCAGAGGTACCTGCAGACCTGCTGGCGTCCGGTGTCAGGAGCGCTCTGTGACCGTGAACTTGACAGCGTCTGCACTCTGCATGTTTCGCAGACACAGTGCATCGGTGTAGCTGTCAGTGTGCTCCGTAGCTGGTCATGTGACGTGCAGTTAGTAAGATACACTCCAGTTGACCCTGGAACAACTCAGAGGGTTGGGGTGCTGCCCCTCTGCACAGCTGAAAGTCTGTGTTGCTTTACAGCCAGCCCTCTGTATCCGTGGTTGTGCATTCTGGGGTTCCACCTACTGCCTCTGTGTAGTGCTGCAGTATATATTCATTGGAAAAAGCCCGCGTATGCGTGGGCCTGCCCAGCACAGCACAGTTTAGCCTGTGTTGCTCAGGGATCAACTGTAGCCAGTGTCTGTTACTGGGATAGACACCGCGCAACGACAAGCACGGGGCTTCCCGGCGGCGCTAGTCGCAAAGAGCCCGCCTGCCCGTGCAGCAGATGCAAGAGACTGGGGTTTGATCCCTGCGTTGGGAAGATCCCCTGGAGAAGGAAAGGGCAACCTACTCCAGGATTCTTGCCTGGAGAATCCCATGGACAGAAGAGCCTGACGGGCTGCAGTCCACGGGGTCTCTAAGAGTCGCATACAACTTGAGCGACTTAGCACAATGACTGTAAATAGAAATATCTAGTTTTTCTCTTTGATATATGTTAATAGTTACCATTTATTATTAGGTATCTCTGGCGTACTATTATATTATCAGTAATACTGGTAGTCTTTTAGAACAAAAACTGTCCAATAGAAATATATGTGAAAGGAACTTTTTAATGATAAAATGTAGAGCTAGTCTGAGAATTCTTGTTTACTTTTGTTGAAAATTTGGAAGACTCGAATTTTCCCGTTTTAAATCCCAAACCTCATTTGCAGGTTGGCCACCTCACAGGACACTCCGTGGTCATCGGAACAAAGTCACATGTTTGCTGTACCCTCATCAGGTCTCAGCCCGTTATGATCAAAGATATCTCATATCTGGAGGCGTGGATTTTTCGGTCATAATTTGGGACATATTTTCTGGAGAAATGAAACATATCTTCTGTGTCCATGGTGGTGAGATAACTCAGCTTCTAGTTCCACCTGAAAACTGTAGTGTAAGTTGATCATGAAAGATTATTTCACTATTGTAGAGTCGAACTGTGTTGCTGCCATGCTTAATACAAATGAAATCCAGAGTAATCTAAAGTGTGATGGAAGAATTAATAAAAAAAATCCTTGTAGTTATAAAACTAAATAGTGGTAACATGATTTTTAGGCAAAGTTATGATTATTACTATTGGGCGTATAGACATAGAAGACGGACATAGTGTTTTTTCCTGTTATTAGTGCCTAAATGGCATGGCTTATCCCTGAAACATAGTAGCAATTTAAAATATCTTTGTTGAAGTTTCAGTTTTTTGCTCCGAAGTAGTTTTAAGTATCCCTAAAGTCATGCTCATCAAAGTAACCTCATCATTCTCAACTCCATCTGAGCAAAAAGAAATTGGACCTGTGCTTTTATAGCTTGAAGCAAAATACTTCTCAGTACTTACAAATAGAGTCCATTTAAATAAACAATTATTGTGACAAGGGAAAGAATAACAGGCACTGATAATGATTTTGGAAAATTTTGTTTGTACTTTTATGGAAGCAGATTGCTTTTTCATGATGTGTGTGTAATTTAGCTGATGATGTCAAATATAAAAAGTCTCATAATTTTAGAAATAGGAAATTTTAGGAGGACTTAGGACAGATGAATAACAGACCCGTAATTTCTTTTACTGTGTGTTTAATGTGAACTTACTCATGTGATTAGCTGCCTTTGTATGCAAAATCACTATTCCCCAGCACACACACACATGTATGGACCCGCGTACATAAACATGCAAATATACTGTCTTTATCACAACATTTCATGCTTATCAAAATCCCTTCACCAGTTATTGTCTTACTGAAATGAAAAGCATTTTACTTGTGTATCTGATCCATTGGTCAGAAGCAGTCTCATTTCAAAGACCCAGGAAATTTTCCTTGGCCTTTCTACTTGCTCACATGACCTTCATGATAGCGTATATTATCTGCCATGTTCTGCCAGTGCTGGATTTCATTTGATTAGACACATGTGGTGGGGTAGGAAGTTCTATACCACCGTGTGTGTGTCTCTTTCTTTTTCCCCTGACAGATGTGAAAATTTAGGTACTTAATTAATCTCTTCCTTCTTTATACAAATTTTTGCCTTTTTCTTTCTTTCCAGTTTGTTTTTCATTTTAAAAAAAAATCTTCATCACTGTAAAAAATTGTGTATTTATTTAAATAGCCAGGTTACTTTAGTTGCTCAATCGTGTCCGACTCTTTGCGACCCCATGGGCTACAGCTCACCAGGCTTCCCTGTCCATAACCAACTCCCAGAGCTTGCTCAAACTCATGTCCACTAAGTTGATGATGCCATCCAACCATCTCATCCTCTATCATCCCCCTCTCCTCCTACCTTCAATCTTTCCCAGCATCAGGCTCTTTTCCAGTGAGTTAGTTCTTCTCATCAAGTGGCCAAAGTGTTGGAGTTTCAGCTTCAGCATCAGTCCTTCCAGTGAATATTCAGGACTGATTTCCTTTAGGATGGACTGGTTGGATCTCCTTGCTGTCCAAGAGACTCTAAAGAGTCTTCTCCAACACCATGGTTCAAAAGCATCAATTCTTCGGCACTCAGCTTTCTTTATAATCCAACTCTCACATCCATACATGACTACTGCAAAAACCATAGCCTTGACTAGACGGACCATTGTTGGCAAGGTAATGTCTCTGCTTTTTAATATGCTGTCTCTGTTGGTCATAGCTTTTCTTCCAAGGAGCAAGCGTCTTTTAATTTCATGGCTACAGTCAACATTTGTAGTGACTTTGGAGCCCCCCAAAATAAAGTCTGTCACTGTTTCTCTCTCTCTTATTAGCCGTGAAGTGATGGGACAGATGCCATGATCTTAGTTTTCTGAATGTTGAGTTTTAAACCAGTTTTTTCACTCTCCTCTTTCACTTTCATCAAGAGGCTCTTTAGTTCTTCTTCACTTTCTGCCATAAGGATGGTGTCATCTGCGTATCTGAGGTTACTGATATTTCTCCTGGCAATCTTGATTTCAGCTTTGCTTCATCCAGCCCGGCATTTTACATGATGTACTCTGCATATAAGATAAATAAGCAGGGTGACAGTATATAGCCTTGACATACTCCTTTTTGTATTTGGAACCAGTGTGTTGTTCCATGTCCAGTTCTAACTGTTGCTTCTTGACCTGCATGTAGGTTTCTCAGAAGGCACGTCAGGTGGTCTGGTATTCCCATCTCTTTCAGAATTTTTCACGGTTTGTTGTGATCTACACAGTCAAAGGCTTTGGTGTAATCAATGAAGCAGAAATAGATGTTTTTCTGGAACTCTCTTGCTTTTTTGATAATCCAACGGATGTTGGTAATTTGATCTCTGATTCCTCTGCCTTTTTTAAATCCATTAAATCCATTTTATTTAAATCTTTTTAAATAACCAATTTTATGTTTATTTTTAGTGAAATAGGTATTATTGTAATTCTGCTAAGTTTAAGCAGTGTTAGAACCCTTGTCCTGAACCTCATTTTGCAGTTCTTATGCCCCATAGAAAAAATAGGTTTTTTTCACATCTGAATGCCAATTTGGTGAAATATCTAATTTTTTAATGCTGAAGTTGATAATGTAGATTATGTTATTCCTAAGTTTAGATAAACCATTTTGATTTGGCTGTTTTTTGTTTTCATAAAAATACACTGAAAATACTAGAGTGTGTATGTACATAGGCATATATATATATTACAAATATTGAAAGTGTTTTTTGAATAACTTACATAGGGTCATGTTTTCCGTTTGAACTGCATTAATATATGCATATTTTTAGCCTATGTGTATGAGCACATTTTCTGGTTTCTTTTTTAAAAATTTCAAGTGCGTATTTAATACAGTAATAGAATGTTTTTGATCAATTGAATTTAGAAATACTTCATAGTAGGTAAAAGCTAAGATATGGACATATATGCAATTAAACAGAAAGTGGTCTTCTCACTAGATGAGGCACCAGCCAGAGGTACTGGTTGCCTGGGATGTATGAGGCAGAGAGGCACCAACAAGAAAGTCTGGTTCTTGGAAAATAATTTACTTATAGGTTTAACAGTAGAATTTTCTTGTTTTTAATTAACTTTGAAAAGTTCTGATTAAGACACATTTGCTTTGGTCTTTGTGATAGTATAAGATATAAATAATGACTGCCTAGTTAATGGCCTGTTCATTTAGCTGGTAGTTTTAGGCCCAGCAGCTAATGTGTTTGGAAATCAGAGAGCCCTAACTGGTTAATAAAAAGCTAAGGATTTGATATTTGCTAAACACTTAGCAAATGACGCTTCTGCTGAGATTATAGAGTGAGTGACATCAAGTGTGTCAAACGCTTACAGTGTCCTCATAAATCGACCCAGTGGCATTGTCGTTCAGCAGAAAGTGTTCCTGCTTGAAAGTGACCTGTGCTTGGAAGGTGTAACCACCGCAACACTGAAACCTTTGTCATCTGCTTTTTGAATTACAGCGGGAGTTTTGGTTTTATCTTAGGTAGATTGAGAAAGAAGCTGAATTTTGTTTTCTTGTAAGTTTTTTTTTCAGGAAAAGACGTTCTAAAACAGAAATGTTGGTTGCATTTTAAAAATGACTTAAATTATAATTAAGAATGTACAATTATGATGAGTTTTTCATTCTTAATTTATAGTCATTTCTTGTTTACTAAAATATAGGAAGTTGTTAAGATAAAGTACTGAGCAAAACCATTGTTTCCTCGCCTCTGTAGAGAGTGAACAAAAAATGAAATCCTGCCTGCCGGGTAGAAAAGATGTTATGGCTGGAGATGAGCTCTGAGGACAGACTGTGCCCTTCCACAGCTCCACATACGTTCACATCTTATTGGTCTGCTGTCTAGGTGTTTCTGTCATCCTTTCTCTCCCCACTCCTTCATTTTTGTACTGTTTTAGCATCTTTTTCCCCAAAATCTTTCCACATTCTTTCTGTACATTAGCACTGATTTAGTGCCAGACTCAGTAACCCTGTATATTTATTTTTAATTAACTATTTATAGGAGTTTTAATTATTTAAAATTTTCAACATTTTCCTAGACAGTAAACACTCCCTACAGCATTATGTAGAGTACCTACTTTGAATAGATTTTGTATTTATTGTACATTAAAGGTTTTTGGTTTTTCATTTTTTAGAGGAATTTTATGTATTTATTTATTTTTTTCCAAAACAGTAAAAGTCCTTTTAGGCAAAGTACTTTGAAATTGAACTTGATTCACTGAATAAACTGGTTAGCTGAGATTTAACTTTTATGTGATACAGATTATTTTAAAGAATTAAAGAACAGTAAAGAAAATCTAAAAGTATCCTGAAGATATGCTTTGAGATACGAAATATTGAAGTAATTCAAGATTGGAGTGCCAAAGGGTTATTGGGGAAAATTCAGAATGTTTTTGGGCAGAATTACTGTCTGCCAAGTAATGTGTTTTAGTGTTCCAAGAAATATAAACATATTTTAGGAGGAGGATCAGGCGAATATTTAAGGAAGTCTGTTACAGTGTCGACTATACGTGATAAAGGAGAGATGCTAACGAAATGCTCTGGCGGTTGAGGGCAGGGATGTCTCATAGGTGCTCAGAGAAACCAGGGGCTTTGTTAAACTCTCAGAAAATCCTCTGAGATTTGACTGTGTATTGACTTCACGAAGGGTGCTGGAGATTCTAGTTTTGAGATTGCTAGTGTTAGGTTATTTGCCATTTCTGTTTCTTTCTCCTTGAGATCATGGACTGTAGAGGAAAAAATTCAGTTTGAGGTGATTTTTAAATTTTTTTTGTGTGTGGTTTGCTTTCTTAAGAAAGCAAAATATACTGTTCATAATATGAAAGAAATATGTACATGTATATCTATGAGAGGTGGGTGTACTACATATATATGAAGTATACATGTATATGAGAAGAAATAGAAGTAAAACTATCTACTGAAATACTGTTTGAATTACATAATATAATATAAAATGAAGTTCTGTACCATTTTTGTCATTTCAAGTTGT